CTTGCTGCCCCGCGGAGTCGCGGCCGCTCTTCTCCCCAGTCTCTTTCCACTTGACACCAAACGCCATTACTGAGGTGGAGTGATTTGGAGCGGTAGGCCTCGGCGACGCCTGGCTATCAGGCCTGACGACTTGTCCGCCTCCCCCCACCCTCCCGCGATAACCCGCAGCTTCTCCGCGGCCCTGTGGTCTGGAAGTCGGAGCCGGGTTATCGGCCCCCGGCACCTCCTTCGCCCCCCTTCGTTGCCCAGGGCCCGAGCCGCGAAAAGATGTTTTGATGCAGAAATCGCTTCCAAGTGAGCTTGGACCTACCACTTTTCTATTTTTAACTGTTTCTGCGAAAATATTAGCATGTGAGAGTTTGTTAGTGATAAAACCTTGAGATTCTTGGGGTGTGAGGCTTCGGGTTGGATAAATGACTTATTTTTCATTCATTGTGAAATATTTAAAGAGTTAGGGAGCAGGTGTCTACTTGTTTTGTTTGGCTTTTTTTGTGTTTGGTGTGGATTTCTGCAGAGACTGGAACTTACCCTGGGGTTTGAAAGATTTTTTTTTTTTTAAGTAGCTCCTGATTAAATTGATATTTTCTTGCGGGGGGGGGTTCCGTAGTTATAACGTTTATTGCATTTTCATGGTGCAGTTTACAGGTGTGTATAATTGATTCAGATTGTCTGAATTTAACCGAGTTGTAGGTTTAGGTTAAATATTCATGCTTTCTTTTGGGAGGAGAGAATGTAGCCTTCTTTTACCTGGAAACCCCGGAGTCTAAATACCGTTTGTATAATTTCACTCTTGAGGAAGAGTCATTTTGGGTGCATTAAGAAAGTTTTCAGCAGGTACTTAACCCTCTCTTGGAGCTGATTATTTACCTTTATGACAGAGGTCTAGTTAGCCTCGATTAGCTTGGCTTTCTTAACCCTTACACTTGAACTTAAAAATAGAGACTGCAAACTCCTTTAGATCTCACTGGTCGACTGATTCACTGGGCTGCCATTTTGGTTTCAGCAAAATGCCTTCCAAATTCTTGGGAAAAAATATGCAATAAATTTACAAAAGAAGTCAGTATTTGTTTTCTCAATTTTTAAATTCATGTGCTTTGTCATATTTGTAACTGTAACCTTTAAAACTATTGTTCCAGTGTTTGGCTTGAGGGAAAACTTGAAGTATTCTGAATCGATATTCCAAGGGTGAACTCAAAAATGTTTTTGATATTTTCTAACATGTTTTGCTTTCTCTAATTTAAAAACGTAACTTTTAGACTATAGCGTTTCTTCTCTTGACTGTTTTCATAAAATTTTTCCCCCCGTGAACATGTAACTGTTGTTAATTCTTGTTATCTTAATGTTCTGCTGTTTCTTTTGTTTGCTGACCTTGGTAGTTTCTGAGAATTTCTGGAGGGACTAAATAACAGCAAGGACACTACATGTGAGAATCTATATTCTTTCAAAAAGTAACTTCGAAGGGTAGATTTTACCTTTCACCAAATTATTGAGGTATCTTTTTGGTATCCCATAGCCCTCTTATTTTTAATATCGGTGAATGCTCAAGTAGGATTTACTCGGCTCTTTTGTCTTCCAGGATCTTGAAATACCTTTTCTGATATCTCAAGAAGACAAGAGATTTCGTGGATATCTCCTCAGAGATCATTTTTCTTTGACGTGGTATTAATAATGCTGCTTATAGTTTTGAAAATGGATGTTTGCCATGAATTTGCCAGTCATCCAGTTCTTGATTAATTGGATACATGCAAGCGTTCTTCTAGCGTATTTTTATTTCATGAGATCAATTTTAATGTCTTTATGTACTAGTTTCAGAATTTTAATATCGAAACCAATCCTTAAATCAGGTTAAAGAATGTTATTTGAAATACATACATATGTGCATTAAAGGATTATTTCTCTTTTGAATCTTTTGGCAGTAAGTGGTGGGAGGGGTTCTTATCCCATGGTTATTGAGCTACTAGTTGATTTTTGTTCTAAAAGATCGTAATGCTTTCATTTATTGCCTGCATTATATTTTCCCTTCATGCTGGTAGGTTTTCTGAATCTTGAAATGGTTTTCATTTCAAAAATTGAGAAACAGGATTCTGGTTTCCATTTGGTTCTTTTTAAGAGCTATATATTTGAAAGCCATCTATTATTAAGTTCTTGTATATTTTAGCATAGTCTTTTTTAACTATTTGGGGAAGAGTTAATACATTGACCTCAACTCTTATAATCAGTTGGGAGTTTTTAAAAACCTGATTCGTGTCTCACTCTGAGGGTGTCCGATCTGGGCCTAGGGCAAAGGTATATTTTGAAAGCACTGTGTATGATTCTGATATGCAGAGTTGAAAACTTTTAAGTGGATAAATAAGTGAATGGATTTTCCCTAACTGTTTTCAGTTATCAGTATAATTAACTTTTATTGAGTATTAATTATATGTCAGCACTATTAAGCATTTACATTTATTATGTACACAGTATTATTTCCATTACACAAGTGAGGGTCTGAAATCTGTGGGGCTCAACCAGTGGTGCTTCAACAAATGTGCCATGTTAGTGAAAAGATATTGATTACTGTTTTTTTTTTTTTTTTAAATTAGATCTTTTGAATTGTTTGCTATACCAGAATACCTTTACATTTAGTTTTAAGACTATCAAAATGTAATTTGAGAAATATCTTTGGCAAGGGAGATGTTGAAACTTTGTAGCAGATAGGTTCTTTGTCTTCCATATGTTTGCCACAGTGTTCAGAGTGATAGTTAAGTTGATGGGTTTGTTATGACTAAAATAATGTTAGACAATTTAACATTCCTAAAAGATGTAAAACAGGCATTTGTGCCTGATAGGTTATTTAAATTATCCCATAAGCGAATGTTTAGTATTGTGAAATTCTGTTACCTTGAAAATTCTGAGTTTTATTTAGTTTAAAACTAGTTTAATTTTCACAAAAAACTTCAAAACTAAGGGTTTTGCTTTTGCATTTTTGTGGCATCATTTGATAATTGTTTCGTGGAATGAACAAAATAGCAATAACAGACATTTGTTTGGTGTTTGTGTAATTTCTTTGATCCCCTTTGCTACATTCTGTGTGGGAAGAAGAAACTTAAAAACTAAGATCTCTCAGCATTCCTTTTTTTTTTCCAATTTTTTTTTCAGTGCTGGGGATTGAACCCCAGAGCCTCCTGCATGCTGTAGCTCTACCAGTAAGCTGTACAACTATCCCTATGAGCTTTCTTAATATGACACAAGATTATTCAAAGCTCTTTGTTAAATTATCATAGAAAATAGGATTTCAGTATTAAAGTTAATATAATTTACATAAGGAAAAGGAAATATTTGCACATATATAGGGGCTTGAATTTATCATTCAGTTATTACTATTGGTTATAAAATGATGATCATTGTAATATACTTTTTTTTTAATCTTTATTTTTATGTGATGTTGAGGATCAAACCCAGTGCTTCACACGTGTGAGGCGGGCACTGTTCCACTGAGCTACAGCCTCAGCCCCATATAATATACTTTTTA